ATGGGTGGCGGTGGCGGACGATCTCCAGGAGACTCCATCTCAAGAGCCGCGAACAAGGATTTTCTACAGCCACTACATTACACTTCCAGGTCCCCATGTGACGATGTCTTGAATTACATGTTAACCAAACAAAGACATTCACCAGAATGCCAAGAAGTCCAAACNNTAGCATGGGGCTTGAGCCGCAAACCTCTGCGTCTCTCTCTGTTGCTTCGTGCAGGATCTGCGTGGAGGACAAAGAACGAACACAGGTCTGAAGACAAGAAGTGAGCTGCCGCGAGCTGCCCTTCCTCAGCAGCGCTTGAAGCCGCTGCGTCTCTGTCCGCTCGCGTGACCTCGGCGTGGCAGCAGTTGCTTCCAAGCGGGCTGAGTGCAACGGGCTCCGACGGTCGTTCAAGAACTTGGGGCCGCAACTTCGACACTTCAAGCCTTCCCTCTGCTCCTAACCGTCAAGGCGCCCCAGCGCTGGGATCCCGGCTCCCGGCTGGGCGCCGGCGCAGCGCGCGCCTGGGCCGCCTGGTGCTTCTGCGCTTGGCCGCCACGGTCTCGGTGTGGCACGGCCGTGACTTCCAGTGCTATGGGCAAACCGCCGTTGGTGACAACGATAGCAAAAACTGCAGGCAGTCATGGGGTACACGTACTGACAATGGCAACAACTGCAATGTTGAGACTGCGACAAAGCGGGAACAACGATAATGATGGTGACAGATATGATCACGATGGTGATCTCAATGGTTAAGATGATGACAGTGCCGCCAATTTCAGCAGTGAGGATGATGAGGATGAGGATGATGATGCTGGTGGTGATGGTGGTGGTGATGATGATCATGATGATGTTACATGATGAATAATAGTGGCCTGTGCTGATGATGACGGCGATGATGATGCTTCTGGTGGTTTCCTTTATGCCGAGGATGAGGGCCGCGATAACACCGATACTGACGAGTCGAACACGGCTTGCAATGATAGCTGATCAGTAGCAATACTCGGGAATGAAGGAAACACAATTTGCGGCATGATCAGCGAAGGTCTGGGTGTCGCACGTTTTTCACCATGCGTGCTCGAAGCCGCGGAGCTGCTCTCCTGAAGGACAACCCAAAAGAGCCCTCGGCCGAGAAACTGTCGAAAGACAGGTTTGTAACAAAACTAATATAATATAATATAATATAATATAATATAATATAATATAATATAATATAAGATAAGATAATATAATATAACTCGTTAACGCGCCCCCTGCCAACCGACACTGCCGCTGCAAATGCCTAGCCTCTACCATCTGCAGAACCTTGACAGGTGCAGGACTGCATGCGGTGGAAACGATAGCCTTGAACATGGCGAGAACTACACTTCACACAGGAGTTTTGCATGCTGCAATCCTTCTGCTCTTTCTCCTTCATCACTGGCACCTGCAGTAGATGCAATCTGCATTGTCATTCAAGCTACTCCTTCGAACCCTCTGTCCAAGCAAACAAACGCTCTGCCAACCCACAAAAGCCATCATACCGTCTTACGCCCCTAAACCCCGAAAATCCTAACAACCGAGTATTCACATCACGAATCAAGAAACAGGACCACCTCGAAGTCAATGGTCACCGGGAGAGGGACCTGCCAGCCCCAGCAGCCGGAAACACGACGGTACAATTCCGGATTCTCGTTGAGGAACTTAATTTAAGCTACCTTAGTAGGTAGGGATCTATAGTAAGTAATAGGGTTTCCTTGTCATGGTGACTTAAGTTAGGTTCCTGAACAAGAACCCAGAATGCATATCCGCGAGACGGCGTGGAAGCTGATTGTAGGATGTTGAATTCTGAGAAGGCCTTCGTCCTACATCTCCGACAAACAGCTGCCTCGAGATGAAGAGCCCCGAGACGAACCGGGAGTTTAGGGTTTGAGGGTTTAGGGCTTGGGATGTAGGTCCCTATCACAGCTTCCTTCCGTGTCGTTGAGGACGGCGCTTGCTTGGTCAGCTGCTGCACTTCGTCGAGGCTCCGATCTGCGACGTCCTCCCCGGCAACGGCAGCCACCTGCAGCCGGTTGAGGGTGTCGGGTTTTGGGTTTCGGGTTTTGGGTTTAGGGGTTTGGGTTTCTGGTTTAGCGTTTCAGCAAGAGTGGGGCTGCAGGTGCATCAGCTTCATTCCAGCCGGTGCACATGAGAGCAATGTTCGCGCAAGCTTGCCTGCAACTCAAGTCGCTGATGTAGCTGCCTAGGCATCCGGCGATCCAGCCAGATTTCACCCCGAGTCGGGCTGCGGGCTTTGAAGGATCATTGTGGTTCACCTGAGCCGGTCATTTAACACGTCTCGGAAGTGTTTCAGGGAACGGGCCTACACGTAGGAGGAACCCATGAAGCCTGTGGCTACCCCGAGTTGCACAGGCTAGACTCAGAGCCACAGAAGAAGGACATCATGCACCTTCTCCACAACATAGCCAGCAGTTCGCCCCCCTGCCGAAGATCACACAAGGACGATCGCAACAGCGCAGAATGTCTACAGCCGACTCAGGCAGACTGATTCCAGCTCGCAGGCGACACACGGGAGCGATGCACACGCCTTCTTCTTTGAAGGGCGTCATCCCAAACGGCCTCGTCTCGAAAGTTACCTCAGCTTGGCCGCCACGATATCATACTATACTCTGTACGTACATACATAGATATGTAATGTCATATATTCCATTGCAGTATACGATATCATGTTGTATTACCTCATCCAACACCCTGGCCAGCGGTGTAGGGCCACTGCCGAGACCCGGCGGTTGGGTCGAGGCGCTGCTTTTGCCTAAGGCGTTGCTTCAGAAGAGGTGAGAAAAATGGGCCAGTGCGAAGGAACCTAATTTCGGAATCCACGATAGGGACCTATAGATACTCTAGCGTCGCAGAAGGCTTGATTCAAGCTACCCAAACCCTAAACCCTAAACCCTAGACCCTAATCCCTAAACCCTAAACCCTAAACCCTAATCCCTAATCCCTAAACCCTAAACCAGGGATCTCTTGCTTCTCATCCCCGGGGCCTTCTCGTTCTGCAGATCTCGCGTGCGCTGGAACGCTTCGGCATGAAACCTCGGAGCAGCTCTTAAGACCCAGCGGCTCCCGGGCGGTTTAGGTTTTATAGGGTTTAGGTGTTATAGGGTTTAGGTTTAGGGTTTAGGGTTCCGGGTTTAGGGTTTAGGGAAAGTCCCCGAACTCCCGAGACCTGCAGCTGCTTTTGTAATGGTTCAAACAGAAAATCTGCCGAAAACTTCGAGCCAACAGGCCAACAGCTCCTTGTGACTGTCGGTTTGGACATACGCATGAAACAAAAATTCACTGCGCAGGTGAAAACCATCAGTTGAGTTGCTGAAGTAACTTCTGGCGTGAAACATCTGTGCTGCCCTCGCGATGGCCTTTTAGGCCACACCGCAGAGACCACTTCAGCCCAATGCCGTCAAGGCATCACTGACACCCGCGGCCTTGCAGACCACGGTCGAGTGCTTGATGTCCTGCAAACATTCTTCGGGGCTGCAGGCGGTATGGTTCAGATGTGATCGTACTGGCATGGGAGTTCCTGTTGCGTGTTAGTAAAGAAAGCAGAATCACAAGGCAGGCTCTGAATCGACAGTTCAAGCTCTCGGAAGAAACCCAAATCCCACAAAAGAGCTCGGAGTGCGCGGCCTTGCCGAGAGCAATCACCGACACACCGTCGGCTTGCCCGGACTCCATCACAACTGGGGGCAAAGCTTCCATTCCAGACAGATCCTGCAAAGAGTTGCGCGGAGAAGCATTGCAATAGCTCTTGCTTTGCTAGACTCGACGCGCAAGGCAGTTGAAAGCAAGCCGGTCACCCGTCCTTCATCTTCTGCCGGAGCTTGCCGGCAGACACTGCTGCCTCAGTGTGAGGTGACCATCGGCCACTGCCCAGCAGAGTTTGCCCTGTGCTCCCTCTGCTCCCTGTGTCGTCCAAAGGCGGAGGCCTCCCATACGTTTCCGTGGCAGCCAACCACGAGAGCGACATCACCCTTGAGTTTCACAGCCTGGCAGCGCCGTTTCTGCGGGACTCGACTCGGCCCCATGCCCGGCCCTGAGACTCAAAGCCCAGACCTGTACGGGTGCTGCGGATGCAGCTGCTGCAGGGCCATTGCTGCTCAAGGCGGCAACAGCCTCGGAAATGCCCTTCACAGTGCAAAGCACCTGCGATCAGCTTCTTGCAAGCTTGTTATGCAACGAGACATGCCACGGCCACCTCGCCTTGTTGTTCTGCGTGAGGGACACCAAGGAAACAGCATCTCCGTTCTTGTCGCCCTGACTTTGGGAGAAGATTGTGCGAAAAGCGCTTGGAAGGCCCTGCTATTTGCTAGTTCCGGCTGGTAGCCTGGCTTGCTGGCTTGAAACTACAACCTGCGGTCTCTCGAAGTGAACTACAAACAACACCTCTGCAGCCCTTCGACCCTCTTACAATCTTGCCTCCAGCAGCAAGGCCGGGGGCAAGTTGGAGCTGGTCACCTCCTGGCGCATTCAAGGCCCCAGGAAATGCAAGGCCAACTCGGGACATCCGTCCATGCGGCCCAAGCCCTTGCCCAGACGTTGCGGCAGCTATCGGCAGCTGCTCAGCTTCAACGAAGCAGCGCAGCCAATCCCGAAACCCTGACAAAGCCTTCCGACAACTCTGCATCCGCCGGCCTGCACCTTCGTGCGCAACGCCTGCGAGGCAACAGCGGCCTCCCAGATGTTCTGGCCCTGCGATCCAGGCATAGGCATCAAATCACCGGCATCGCAGCCACCGGCTCAAGTATAATGGAAATACGAGGACAACGGTGCGGCTGGCGCCTACGATCCGAACAGCATCTCAGCAACGCCAGCCGCAAACATTGCCATCATCATCAACATCGGCAATACCATCACTATCCAATACCATCACACGTATCATCGTCGTCATCAGTACCGTTGTCATCCTCATCCTCCTCCTCCTCACCATCCTCATCATCATCCTCATCATCATCCTCATCATCATCATCATCCTCATCAGCAGCAGCAACAACAACCACAACAACCCCAACACCACCGACAGCAACAGCAACCGCAATCGCAACAGCAACCGCAACAGCAGCAGCAGCGAAAGGAGCAGAAGGAAGGGTGAGTGTACACAAGAACAACGACGACGGCGATGCCAAACATCATCATGGGCGGTGGCAGCCCTTGTCGCCGAGATGAAGCGCATTCTTGTCACTGGAGGGTCAGCATTACCACATGATTAGTACTTATTACCATGTACAATGAGTATTTGTATCACATCGTGTCACCACCAGCCTTGCACGAGACCACCACAGCCAGGTCCTCACCCTTCGGGAGCGCCAGGGACGGGCCCTGACACTCAAGCGACGGAACCCCAGCTTCTTCGAAGCCTTTCGTGTAATGTAGCAGAATCTGGTAAATTACGACATATAACATAATATTAGTACATAATCTAGTACGTAATCTAGTGTATAATCCAGTGTCTAACCTAGTGTATAATCTAGTACAAAAATATAGCATGTAATCTTGTAATCGCGTACTCCAGTACACATTCCAGCATAAAACCCAGTGTATAATAATCAAGTACAACATCGTACCTAATACAGTCAATAATATCGCATACAATACAGTATAAAGTATATAGTACAGTTTTTGATGGTATATTTCTACTAAGGCTCTGTCATCGAGCGATGCAAGAGAAACGCTGCCAACAACGGGGAAGGCTTCAGTCTCAACCCGAACATAGAGATCGCAGACCAAACGTCCAGGCACCTTCGCCTCCGCCTCAGCCGCATAGGAGGGTGCTGCCGGTGGAGGAGTCACGCCCCGTCGTAGTGGAATGCGGGCGAGGTGGACGCTGTGACGGGCCAAGTTCAGGGTATTCTTCATGAGCATCGCCTCAGACATCTACGGAAGGAACAGCTTGCAGTCTAGTCCGAGGATGTCTGCGATGCATTTTCCACGCACGAACCTGTTCATCTCTCCTGCGCCTTCCCCTACTACTACTCAACAACTAGTCACACAAGTCCATCCGGCGAGATCTGTCGAAGTGATCTGGGTGCTGAGGGTCAGGCAATGGTCATTGGACCTACACCACCCGGCACGGGAGTAATCTGCGATGCGACCTCATCCCAAGGCGACAAACTCATGAATGATTCAAGTACGTCTGTTCGGATGAAATCGAAACAGAGGGCTCGATTTCTCCAAGGCACTCCTTGGGCTTCCTTGTAGTTCACGTCGCCGACCTTTCTGTGGGAAATGACACGCAGCACTTCCAACCCAGGCCTCCCACAATCCCTCGAAGGATCGCAACTCTCAAGAGAGGCGGCTACATTGTTTTTCTATATATGTACATATAAATATAGACATATGTATACATGTAAGTGTATATACATATATACAAATATGTACATATATATATATATATGTATATATACATGTGTAGATATATATATAGATATATATACACATACGTATGTATATATACATGCGTGTGTGTATATGTATATATATATATATATTTATTTATTTATTTATTCATTGTTATTTATTTATTCATTTATTTATTTATATGCAGGCTATGCGCAGGCACAGATGACATGGATGCAGGCGTATACCCAGGAAGGTATACGCAAGGGATGCTTCGTTCTACCCTCAGTGTCCGAGAGCATGGCCAGACGATACCCGAGCTTCTTTGTGGCGTCGTCAATCTCGGCACGTGCGTTCAGGGTTGAAATATGAGACCGAAGTGTGAAAGGAGCTGCAAGACACTGATCAGAGCGGAGAGAGACGGGGCACTGCATTGATGCCGACGTCGATGACAACACAGCCTGGCTTCAGCCAATCGCCACCTGACTGGCTCGAAAATGTCTTGCAGAACTGTCAAAGAGCCGGAACCTACATCATGCCGACTCAGGGCGCGGCGCACGAACTCTGGCTTGCCAATTGCAGCGACTACCTAGGATGCACAAGCTTGAACTTTCGAAGAAGCTGATCACCGATGCACGCATCCCACTGCAACAAGAGAAGCCACAAATCATCCAAGAGACGATGTCAGCTTGCTTGAGGAAAAATTGCATGTCTGGTGTGCGCGAGTGGCACACCGTCACCGTGGCATCCATTGACTGGAGGATCTGTGCCACCGGCATGCCCACGATGTTCGACCTGCTCTCAGGCACAATCTTTACAGTACGAAACCCTTGCTCCAGGTTTACACCTGCAGAGTACTACAGTAGCACGAGTAAGAAGAGCAGTGAAGCGGTCTCCACCTTCCTCTTCGAATCCCCCGGGGACCTCCCCAGCACCACAGCCGTCTTGCCGGCCACTTGGACGTTGCTGCGCTGGATCAGCTCGATGCATCCAGCCGGAGTACAGGGCACCTCAATGGAGCCGCTTCCAGGAGGGTTTAGGGTGTTTTTGGTTTTTTGAACGCCGTTTTCCACCTGTCGGAGCATCCTGCAGCTGGAATCCGCTTCGCAGAAGGCTAGCTAGTCTTGCGACTAAAGTAACATCTTACACCGACCCGATCAACTCAGCCATTGTGGTTCTGGTAGGACTCAGGATTGCAGGGTTTAGGGTTTAGGCTTTAGGGCTTCTTGAAACAATGGTGGCAAGCCCTGCTACTCTTTTTGCGGACTCTGTGCATCTAAGGCTTCTGTCTCTCTCTCTTCACATTGACGTGACTGAGTCCTGCTTTATGTATCGTTGCTGTCACATAATTCTGCGACGGTTCTCGAGCGCAACCCGTCACGTTGTCCAGAGGCAATGGTGCAGATGGTGCTGATAACGATGGTGAGGATGAAGATCGTAGCTTCAATTGCACTTCGCTTCTTAAAGGATCATGGGACTAAGTAAGTAGGGTCATAACTAAGGTAACTATACTTATAACCCCAATTCGGGGACTTATAACCCTACTTACTAAGTCCCATGATCCTTTAAGTAGCTTCAGTTGCACTTCGCTAGCGGAGCCCAAGATGGATGCCAAGTCGCCGCAAGAGGAGGCGCCCCGCCTCGCAAGCAAAGGTTGCCAACCTCGGAAAGGTTTAGGGGTTTAGGGTTTAGAGCAAGGCAAGAAGAACACTGTCGAATCGATAGGGCCTGGGCCAGAGTTGATCAAAAGAACAACAGTGGCAACAATTACTATAGGAATTAGCAGGCCATTGCTTCCAGGCAGTTAACACCTGACTCTCAAAGTAACAAACTTCGTGATACTTGCCGGACATCAGAAGTCACGGCCCTGCAAGAGTAGAGATAAACCTGTGCAGCTCAGGTCACGTTCTCGGCAGAGAAGCCATCCGCATCCTGGCCACTATCGACTGCTCCGACACAGAAGTGCGATGGCGATAGGGAGGAAAAAACATCAACACAGTCTTGATCGAAGGCGGGGAAAGACCAGCAATCAAAGAGAACGAATAAGCATAACCCTGCAGCTAACAACCAACAGCAATTCAAGCGCTGGTAGCTGGTGATAATGTTGACGATTGCCGTTCACAATGATCGCAAAAGCAGCAAAAACACGACAGAAAGAAACATAGCGACCGAAACAAGAAGAAGAACGAGAACTGCCACAATCCCGTAGCAATATCACTCGTATGATCTCCTTCCTGTTTTTGACCTACTAAGCAATCGCTCATCAGGCCCACCTTGTCAACGCGGATTTTGCTGAGAATGAGCGATTCATCGATATGAGAGGGCAAGGGCAGTTGCACCAAGATCGCGTGCACCTTCCAACGGACAGAAGTGAAGCGGAACAGTAAGAGCATCCAAACGACTTTATCAATCTGACATCCAAGCAAAGATCTCCCAAGGCCTTCGGATCGTCATTCAACTTCTGGACCTCGAGCAGAAGAGCCTTCGCAGCTTTGAATAGCAATGCTTAGCTCAGGACATGCCAACTGAAAGATCTCTGAATATCCAGGCAGACTCCTCCTGGGTGACAGTCTCCGGAAGCGTTACGTCCACTGTGTGGAAGCCAACCTTCATGGCTCATTTGGGTTTAGGGTTTAGGGTTTAGGGCTTAGGGTTTAGGGTTTAGGGTTTAGGGTTTAGGGTTTAGGGTTCGCACAGAGGGCATGTGCATTGGATGCTATTTTCCCTTCGGCGGCTTGACCTCTGCAAATACAGGGGGGGTCCGTTTTTGGTTTCGCTTTGGGAGCGGGCTCTATCATGAGAGGTATGTTACATGATATGAGCTGAGCATTCTACCAGACATTCCTGGATCAAGCCGGGTACCCAGAAGTTGCCAGAAACAGATTTACCGCGGCCAGACACAGAAAACCCTTATATAGATATATATCTATATTTATTTATTTGTTTATTTATTTATTATACCCGAGTTTCCATGGATGCTCGCATGCAGTGCCGTGTGTAGATGCACAGACTCGGCCTCGTCAGCAGCCTTTTTCTTGTTGCGCACCTCGATGCCACATACAAATGCAGCTGTGCGTATACACACATCAAGAGGGTGATGAGATGGCAGAGGAGGAGAAGGCCGAGGAGCAGGAGGAACGGGAGAAGAAGGAGCGGGAGCCGGAGGATGAGTAAGGTGTAGTAGTAGTAGTAGTAGTA